GGCACTCAAAGGAATTTTTCCTACACATCCCTCAATATACTGATACTGATAACAATTTTTTATCGCCTCCATAATGACAATAATCATGGCCTCGTCTAACGTCAAAAATTACCAGCAAAAGTTAATTAAGAAAGGGTAGCTGAGATCGGGAGGGGGATCAGAAGGCATGCATAAAGGCGGGAAATGTGGTTTTGGGTTAGAATATACCTAACCTACCCTGCTGTAGAGTTCAATGGAGACAGACTCCAATTGAGAGATGCGATGGATATTGGCGCCGACGAGAACGCGTAGATCACGCCTTTCCTGCTCTCTGCGTTCGCGATCCCGTGTATGACCCTGATGTTGCATGCGCACCCACAGTTTGTTCATCTCAGCAAAGTTGATAAGGATGAAGTTTACGCTGTCCAACACAGTACCGCTATCAGTGCCATCCTCCCTTGCTCCCTCACAGTTTGCGGTGGGCAAATCACCATCCTGGGTTGCTCCGTGCGGTGGTAGAGGTAACTGTAAGGTAAGCGCATGGATGAGCGGTGGTGCATTGAAATTAAAATGGTGATGAAAAAAGACTTTAATGCAAACGATATGTACACCCTGTAGGTCTGTTAACACGAATAAAGTTTTGGTATTCCTATTAAATATCTGAAAGACCACTAGTTGTAGTCCTGTCAGTACAGGCTAAATGTTACGGGGACGCAAATGGCGATGCAATCAGAACCTACGGCCGGAAGCGCACACTAGTTAAGGCATGCCTGCAGACCGGCCGCGCGCGCACTATCGCCTCGAGCGCACGTGACACTCACTCACATGTGCAGTACAGACATTCTAGAAACGTTCTCCAAGGCCACAGCGTTGGAAAGCACAAATCAGCAAGCAGGCCAGAACCTCCGTCACATGCTATAGGCCAGGATAATTATAGAAGGACCAGAGCCTTATAAATAGGGTGTAGTGGACAAGCTAAAGTATCCGTTGTCTCTGTGTTGTCCTGAATAAAAGCTCTTACTGTCAGAACCGGTCCTTTGCCTTCTTTCCGCCTATTAGTCCGGGACATAACACAAAGCGAGGTCCAGGAGTCAAACTGGCAGCAAATAGTCAATCCGAGCATAAATACCTAATGTATTGAGGCCGTCAAACATGACGTTACAAAGTCAAGACTAAGACAATTTTGAACTGAGGGAAGGAGGTAACCAGAGAAACAAAGACAAGGAAATGCCACAGCCAAACCTCATGTCAGAGGCGGAATAAAGCAAAGCGAATTCATGTTATCGGATTCCATTCCTCTACATCGAATCGTACTATTTTGGATGTCAACCTAAACAAAAGCAAGACTGGGAAGAACGATTATAATTCGGGACTGACAGAATTTTGGTCTTTGAACTACCGCAAGTCCATGTGGGGATTAATCAAATGTGGCCAAACGAGACGAAAATGAAACGGCTCCTAATATTTTCATTGTGAAAAGCCTTACTCAGATTTACAGTCTAGAACACCACAAGGGCTGTTCATTGTTTCTCAGAACATTTTCTTTAATCGTTGGCGGTCGATTTTCCTTTTCACCAGAAGCGCACTCAGTTTCTGGACACTTCTCAAGCGAAGGATATTAAACGCAAAATGCTGTTGGCTTGTGTTAGGCCAATTTACGGCCGGAGCAAAGAAGAACCTTATAGAAGAGTGTCTATGAAGAAGTAGTTAAATCGTCGCAAGAGACCTACATCGGTAAGGCCGAAATACGCCGCAGCATTTACATGCCATATAGTCAAAATGAGCCCATTGAGCTGAAGATTGCGAGAAGAGCTCATTTTGAGAAACAATGAAGCAGAAATCCATGAGCGGCAGATGAGACACTTACGTCGGCATCGGGCAGAAGGCCTGGTCGAATGGACGATAGAAGGTAATTGCGAAGGAAGAGACCACGCATAGGATGCTGGACACCCCGACACATTTCAACCAGATCATGAAGAACTTCACGACAGGGCAGCTCCTTCGACTTAATTTGCACGACTCCAATTGTGATTAGCAGATACCTAGGGCGTTCAAAAGTAAAATATTATGTGTACTGCTCCGAAGCAAAGAATGCTACAACATATGCGGTGATTATTGAAGGGTTCATTTCTAAAACTGAGTCCATAACAAAGCACCATACCTTCACTATTCTAAAACTTAAATATGAGATCTGGGGGCAGTCACCCGTAAGCAAACTAACACCAACTAGGAAGGAATGGTTTTGCAACGTGTTTGGTAGCCCCCTTAAACACGAAAAAACTTAGGGTCATGGTTCAGGTACAAATTTAATCTAACAATGTTAAGAGGACGCGCTATAAAACTGCGATAAA